AGTTATGGAGCTCAAGATGATAAAAAAAATTATGGACCTACTAGTTGGTTAATCCTAATTATCCCATATATGGGAGGACAATAGAGAGCTCAAGAGAGACCTATGTGCACCATATTCAAACATGGCTTACAAACTGCTCGGGTTACATGACTTGGTATGACTATTGTATGAATCTAGATGGTTGTTCCTCATTGTTTGAACCTCATTGGAGCTCTTTATTTATGTAGATGGACACTTATCTAAATTGTAATACAATGTTTAAACAAACTATGGATTTATGCATGGTTTATTCATTCTAATTAACATTTTATTTTCAAACTTTTCATTAATGCGCATTACATACCACTTATATTTCATCATATGTATATCTTATTATTAGTAAATTTTGAGTTTTATTTGTTCAATACATTCATTGATAATATACATAACATCTATGAAAGTTTTACACAAAAATTATGTGTTTCAATGCCTATATCTGTCATTTTTGTTGATTTTTTCCCGATACCTAAAACAATAACGATATATCCCCCGAAATATCCGTAAATTGGAGGCCCGATATTATCTGCACGGCCGATATTTTAATCCTTGGTTGTACTAATTGTTTTACATTAATAATATTTTATTGCTTATCATAAAAAAAAAAAACAAGAGATAAGGTATATATATGTAATTGTTCTCCCAATAACATGAATGATGGTTGGGTGTCAATATCAATTATTGTTATAGGTCCTTTCTGAGCTATTAATGAGAATATTCTCATTATTGCTTTTGAAACAACAACAAAATTTTTACAAAGGGTAGGCACATTATAAAATCCTTTCGAATAAAAATATGTAAAATATATTTTCTCTATTGCATAGAAAACATTTATATACTCAAATAAAAAGAAGACTATTTAATTATATTGTAAATGGATTTATCCGTACGCCGGGGTTGGTGTTCTTTTGGGATACAAATTCTGGTTTCTATTAGTAGGGCCAATCCAGGATTGGATATGGAGGATATGGATTTATCCAAATAAATGAGGGACTCAAATGGTAAAACGTTCTCGAGGGATTAACTTATCCAAGCGGACCATAAGAAGTAAATACATTTTATCTTGGGAAATGACCTCCAATGCCACCCATTTGCTAATTTTAACTAAAAATACCACTCCTTTCCAATTTTTTTACAACTAACACCTTTAAATATAAAATTATTGTTCACTTATTGTACCCGTATCAGTTTTTCAGAAATTGGCTTCTCTCTCTCGCTCTCTTCGCTCTATCTCTTCGGCCCGTCTCTCCCTAGTGTACCTCTCTCTCTTCGAACGCAATGCTCTTTCTCCGTCAACAGTGGCTGTTCATCCAAGCGTAACTCCATCGTTGACATCCACGAGATAATGTTCATAACCCTTTTCTTTGAAATTTGGGGTTTTTGTGAATTTGGTTTATGGT